GGCCCTCAGGCAGTGCCCGAGTTTCCAAATGGGCAGTCCGCCCCTGCTGTATACCGCTATTTGTAGATGCTATAACTTTCAAGTAAATCAATCAATCAATCAATTTGTAGGTATTTGGATTTTTTTTTTAGCAAAGACATGTCACAGAATACATTTTGGCCTAAATTTATGACAAAATTTGATTTTTAATTTTTTTTTACTGGACATGTTTAATAGCAAAAAGGCAAAAATACAGTTTTTTTTTCTCAAAATTGTCGGTCTTATTTTTTTTTTTCTATAGTGCAAAAAATAAAAAACGCAGAGGCGATCAAATACCACCGAAAGAAAGCTCAATTCGTTGGAAAAAAAGGACGGAATTTTCATTTGGGTACAGCGCTGCATGACCGTACAATTGTCAGTTAAAGTAACACAACGCTGTATCACAAAAAATGGCCGGGTCAGGGAGGGGGGTAAATCCTCTGGAGGGCAAGTGGTTAACAGAAAGGACATAGTCTAATGTAAGTTTACAAATGATAATGATTTCTGCCTTGATGTAGGTTGTCGCTGACACAGCTGGACTGTACAAGAAATTGTTCTTTAGTCCTCATGATGTTTTGATAACGCTGTGTGAAGTCATGTTAAAAACATGTTTTTCAGCTTTTTTTTAGCATTTTTGCATTGGCGTTTTCCTGCGTTTTTCAGTGTTTGCGGTTTTTTAAAATTTTTTTTACCAAAAATATTTTTTTTTTTTCAAAAAAAGTCCAAGAATGCTGGTTTTCAGCGTTTTACCACGTTTTTCAGCATTAGAGCGTTTTTACAGCTAAAAAACTCCTCTAGAAACCCACTAGTTCTGGGGGTTTTCCAGCAAAAAAAACCCATTGATTACAGTCTGTGTGCATGGACACATAGGATAACATGCTGGGGGGTTTACTGGCTGTAGAAAAAACATCAAAAGTCGAAAACAGCATCTGTAAAAACATCCAGTGTGCATGAGGACTTACAGGTAAGGGGTTAACACATGACCCAGTTCTTATAACCCCACTTTGTTTAAAGAACACAGAAAGAAAACATGTTGTACTGGGAACCTGATCTTATTGTGTGCAGCGTCGGGGCCCTTCCCTGTTACTGGGCAGAACTCTGTGTGTATATATGGAATTGTAAGAAGAAAGGTGGGGAGGGCTGAGCAACCACAAGGCCATGGGTTTTGTTTTTCAACATAAGGAACACAGCTGGGAAAAGTTGTGTATGACTTGGATCGTACTGTTCTTAGAAATGATTGTACGGAAACTTTCTAAGGAATTAGGAATCCGAGCGCAGTCGTCTGCTTGGTACAGTTCACGGCTACATTACCAGAGCTGTTTGTTACGGATTATTGAGGCAGGACACCATTCTTTTTTATTGCAGGTGGTCTGTATTCTATATTTTACTCGTGTCTAATTTGTATGTGGGCATAATTAAAGTCAAGCTAAACTTTCAGTAGAAAAAAAATAATAATAATTGCCCCACACTCGCACAACTGTATATAATAAAATAAGTGAGAAAATACATAAATTAATGTAATTAAAAAATATAATAATTGCCCCACACTCGCACAACTGTATATAATAAAATAAGTGAGAAAATACATAAATGAATAAATGATCAAATCTATGATTGTACATCACATTGAAAAAATATTAAATGAATAAAAAAGAAAGAAAAATGAAAGCTGTTCATCATCAGACTCAAGAAATAGGTCCAAGTTGTTAAGAGAAAAAACCTCAAAGTTTCATACACTTCCCCAAACGTGTAAAAAAAATAAATCAAGGAGTGTAATCACAAATCCATAAATTAATTGTCCATATTGAACATAATAACGTCCAAACAGTGACCCTCCCTCCTAGATTGTAAGCTCCAAGGAGCAGGGCCCTCCTATCCCTCTTGTATTGAATTGTATTGTCTCCTGTTATATTGTAAAGCGCTGAGCAAACTGTTGGCGCTATATAAATCCTGTATTATAATAATAATAATCAGTGCAGTCATAAAAGGTGATAGATCTGTGCCACCATAGACCGTGCTTCTCCTCTCCACCAAACAGAATCACACCGAACTCACCAGAGGATATTGACTCCCTTAATTAACCAGTTCCCGTCCAGTCAAAAACAAAATGACAACCGCAGGACTTTCGTTGATCCGGGTGAGTGTCATATGACGTCCTCCCGGATCAGGGCAATGCTGCGACGAGGTCTGTCACCGGCTGTGTCCATCAGACACAACAGATGATGGATCTGTGTAATGGCCCGTTACCGGTACCATGTGACTGCTGTCACCAATCACAGCAGGTAACATGACAATTGTAAACAATGGATGACTTCCTTTCATGCCATCCATTATATACAATTGTGTTGCGAGCTGTGATTGGTCACAAGCCATCTGTGTCATGTGATTAGCGGTGGCCAATCATAGCTAATCACAACAAAAAACATTGAATTAATTGATTTAATCCAGTTAAATTCACTGCTATAGCTAATCATAATGTGTAAAAAGAAAAATATTGATTACTTCCCCATAGTAATATAATGTTACTATGGTAAGAGTATAATACTCTGGTCACAGTGTTTTATATAAAAAATCATAAAAATGGTCACCAGTCAGTGTCGCTGATCACCTCCACACCAGTTAGATGATTTCACTACACTGCACTGGTGACAGTATTTTAAAAAAAATTGTGCAATTTATTTTTTAATATCCTAATTTTACAAAAAATTAGGACAAAAAATTACATAAAAACAACTTGCCATGCTTCTTACTAAATACTGCAGACTGTATACTTTCCAAAAAGCGATAATTTCGTGGATATCTGTACTGTCCTGGCATTTTTGAAAAATGAGGTACATCAGGATTACTCAATTTTCAGAAATATAACATAGTTTGTGGACTCTATAACTTTCCTACAGACTAAATAATATACACTAATTTGGGTTATTTTCACAATAAAAATTTAGCAGAATACATTTTGGCCTACATTTATGAAGAACAAATATTTATTGCAAAATTTTATAACAGAAACAATTTTTTTCAAAATATTCTTTTTTCTTTTATTTAACAAAAAATAAAAAAAAACCCAGTGGTGATTAAATACCCCCAAAAGAAAGCTCTAGCTGTGTGAATAAAATGATAAAAATTTAGTGTGGACACAGTGTTGCATGACCGTGTAATCGTCATTCAAACCGTGAGAGTGCTGAAAGCTGAAAACTGGCCTGGGCAGGAGGGGGTAAATGTGCCCGGTATTGAAGTGGTTAAAAAGAAGTCAAAGATTGCTTGTCCAGTACCAGCTGTCATCTCCACAAGTGCCTGTTGTTTTCCAATGGGTCTCCAATCCGTTCTTGTACAGATAGATAAATACGTGGACTAAGCAATTAAACAGTGCTCCTGCGCCTCTACAAGAACTCAATAGTGTATTGAGCTCATATTGGAAGAGCGATAAAAGAGCCTCTCATAGTGTATCACCATCAATTTACTAAGAAGAACAAATTAAAAAGCACTTACAAGTGTTAAAATTGCATAGGCAGATAAATACAATACAGGAACAACAGGCTGCATTCCATTAAGCGGAGGTGATGTGTCCTGGAAGTCCCAACCTACGCGTTTCATCAGTGAACTTCTGACGTCATCATGGGTCACTTATGTATTTTTAACACTTGTAAGTCTGTTTTAATTAGTGGTATTCGGATCCAACACCATTTATGTGAATTACGTCTGCACTGATCACTGTTTGGACATTATTATGTTCAATATGAACAATCTATTTTGGATTTTTAGTTACACTCATTGATTCTGATCTATTTGTTTACACGTTTTGATTCCGATCTATTTGTTTACACGTTTGTTTGGGGAAGTGTATGAAAGCACGGTCAAACCTTTGAGGGTTTTTTTTTTCCCTCTTAACTTCAGAGAAAAAACTGGCAAGCAGGCAGCTTTTGTCATGCCTGCTCAGTCTCTGCAACAAAATAAACTTACCCGCCTGTTCTATTTAATATACACTGTGCAGCACATGCTCAGTACAGTGCCATTGTGCCGGGATGAATGATTCCTGTGAGCATGCGCAGAAGTTACGCCATTCCCGCCAGCTATTCAAAAAACTAAAAACCTGGCTGGAGAGAAGATGTCAACAGCTGATGAGGCATCCAAAGGTTGCATAGTTGGAATGAAGGTGAGTATTCTCTCTTCTTTTAATACCCCTGTAAAGCAAGTTCATTTGCATTTAATATATACACTGGTCTTTGCGGTATGTGTAAATCCATATTGTTTTAATCACCTCTATATTATTATTGTATGTGGATGCTTAAAAACTGTCTACTGATGATGCATGCACCCAATGCACGTACAATGCCAATGATTCTATGACTAGGAAGAGGAGATCATAGGCTAAAGGCACAGAGCCATTCAGACTGGATCTGTGCTATGTGATTGCTGTCATGGCCAATCACAGTGAACACAAATGAAAAACAGTATTACAGTTTATTTTTAAGAACCCACCCCTTCCTCTCATAATGGAGGAAAAAGTTAGAAGGAGGATTGGTGCAGGCAATTGAGGAGGAAAAGAAAGAGGCTGAAACAGAGGAAAAGTTAATTTACAGTTGATGTGGGGTGGGGTTTAAAGTGCCACTGACAGCCAATGTTGTGGGATTGTTCTTTTGTGGGGGGGGGGGGGGATTTAAGACTGGAGACTGCCTTTAACCACTTGCCTACATGTCACTTATACCCCCTTCCTGCCCAGGCCAGTTTTCAGCTTTCAGCACTGTTGCACTTTGAATGACAATTGCGCAGTCATGCAACACTGCACCCATATGACATTTTTATTATTTTTTTGAGACAGATAGAGCTTTCTTTTGGTGGTATTTAAACAAACCAAAAAAAACTGACAATTTTGAAAAAAAAAAGTTTTTTCTTCCTTTTTGTTGTACAATTTTGTAAAGAAGTGATTTTTCTCCTTCACTGATGTGCACTAATTAGGCTGTACTGATGGGCACTGATAGGCTGCACTGATGGGCACTGATAGGTGGCACTGATGGGCACTGATGAGGCGGCACTAGTAGGTGGCACTGATGAGCATTGACAGGCATCACTGATGGGCAATGAAAGGAAGCACTCATATATGGCACTGATAGGTGGCACTGATGGGCACTGATAGGTGGCACTGACTGGCACTGATAGAACAGCACTGATAGGTGGCACTGACTGGCACTGATAGACAGCACTGATTGGCAGCACTGATAGGTGGCACTGACTGGCACTGATAGGTGACACTGAAAGGCAGCTCAGATGGGCACTGATATGTGGCATTGATATGCACTGGTAGTCATTTATATGTGGCATTGATGAGGCACTGATGGGCACTGGCAGGTGGCATTGATGGGCACTGACAGGTGGCACTGCTGGGGCTACACTGATCATCAGGGCACACTAATCATCAGTGCCCTGGTGATAAATGTACATGCCCGCTCCGAGGAATGCCGATTACCAGCTCTCCCCTCCTCTCGAGCTGTCAGCATGACAGATCGTGAGGAGAGAAATGCCGATAACTGGCATTTCCCTATTTACATGCGATCAGCTGTGATTGGACACAGTTGATCACATGACCGAGCCGACATCTTCGGCTCTGTCTGTTGATTGGTGATCCGCTGTGTCCAAGGGACACAGCGCACCACCAATCGCCGTGCTGCATGCTCCCGAAACCGTGCACGCGCTGTTAGAGTGGGAGGACATTATATGACGTCCTCCCAGAACGAGAGAACCGCCTTGCACCCGTCATTGCCTTATATGGAGGGCAGGAGGTGGTTAAACCTGATCTTTGAAAATGATTAAAACTACTCAGGTACTTGACCCCTCTTCCATTACTTGTAAAGTTGGGACTTTTTGATCAATGGGTAGTTTCTCAGTCATGCTACTAAAATCTGATGAGATTGAATTTGATACATCGCATGGCAAACACAGTGGATGCATCAGAGAGTGTTGATGGATGTTTGTTGGTGGAGGGCCTACACACAAATAAGAAATGACCATTGATTGTTCATACATTTGCCTGTGTCACCTATTGATGTCGTTTTGTCAACCACTGCTAAGATTAACACTGTTAAAACTAATAAATAATATATTGATTTAAAACTGGGTGAACTGTCACATTTCAAACTTTTTATACTATATTTACTTCATTATATGCAAGCAAACGTAGAAGAATCATACAACTCATAAATCATGCAAACCATGAATCGAATTTATCTAGATTTGTATATTGTGTAATGAAGGTCACAGCATCAGCAGATTCAGCATTCCCCATCTGGCTAAATAGGTCAGCTCTGGAACTCAAGTATAAAAACCGTATGACAGAAAACTTGGAGATCTTTCCTATACCAACCAAGCAAGTGCATGATTTTATTTTCCTATCTCTATTATATAAGTGACAGCTGAAATCTGAATAGTTGTTTATGGGCAACACTGTCACTTTATTTACTGTATATATGATCCCAGTTTTCTGCTACAATTATCATAGCCATGCAAGGCTACCACACATATACAGAAACCTGGATAAACTGGAGATCTGGGAGACTACCAGACAATCAATACAGTAAATATGTTTTAGATAAATGCACAAAATCATTTCATAGCCCTGAAAGCCCTTAACCTCCCTGGTGGTCTAACTAATCAATATTTTTGAATGTCAAAGTGGTACATTGTTTTGCATGGAAATGTGTTGTTTTATATTGTAGGCCTGTAATTCTTAGGCATAACCAGGGGCAGACTGACTACTCATGGGGCCCCCGGGCAATAGGGGATCATGCGGCCCCTGTGTCCTTGCCCAAACACAAAAAAGCCTATGAAAAAGGTACCAGGGGCATCTCATGGGGCCCCCTACTGATCCCGGGCCCTCGGGCAGTGCCCGTGTTTCCAAATGGTCAGTCCGCCCCTGGGCATAACTCACTTAAATCTCTCCAAACAAGAGTCTAGTAAACATCCCGGGTATGATAAAGTTTGAAACACGAAATCATAAATTATAAATATATTAAATAATTATAAAAAATAATAATATCATAATAATACATTTAATTCAATAATGTAATCAAACCAAAAACACTGAAATTTGAAATAGAGCACCAAGTTCGCACATCACTGAGCTCAGTCGCAGAATAGTCGTTGTCGTCACTTTCAGTGTCTGATGACGAATTTCCCCACGAATCATTATCACTCAATTCTGCAAGTAGTTCTAATTTACTATCGCTGTTCTCTAGCTGATCTAAAACCGCTTTTGACCTAAAGGGACACTTTTTGGATGCCATGGACGTTCTCAAGTTTCCAGGCAGAAAGAACGGTAAAAGTGCAGGCAGGGCACAGGACAAAGCACTCGGGACAACATTTAGGTGAAATGGTTTGATACAGTAATGTAATACTAACAGATTACAATGTATTGTGTGTATGTCATGTTTTTACTTTTTTAAATCTCCCGCTGGTTCCGCCCCCCTGCGTACCTACACTCGCAGGGAAGGGAACCCGGAAGACGGATACCGGCATCGGCCGGAGGACACAGCGGGAGGACATCGGGGGGATTAGAGGTCAAGGTAAGGAAGCACTATAGAGTAATCCCGAGTGTGGCTCGGGGATACTGCTTTTGGTACTGTAAATGAACCCCGAGCCACACTCAGGATTACCGCTAGGAAGGTTAAAGCAGTTTTAAAACCAAAAGTAAACATTTATTACATTGCAGCTCGGATGTGATGGCTACATTAGTTTCTTTTTTTAGGCCTTTGTTCTTCTATTTTCATCTGGTGACCCTGCCAGTAAGTCTGTTGTTTTTCAAAAGAAAGCTCTCTTGCAGGTGTAACGAGTTACAGGGAGGAGACAAACCATTCAACACTGGCAAGGGTGCTTACAATGATCAGTTTTATTTATTCATGTAAATCCTTTATCCCAAAACGAAAAACAAAAAATTTTGCTGTACCTGATTATAAAGTGTTATCTTTGAGTTTGGCTTCAATTTGTTAGTGTATCTAAATATGCTAGTCCATCTAACACTCCCCTCTCCCAGACTGACAATGCTGCTGTCCAAAGGTGCCCCCTGTGCTCTTTCATTCAGAGTGAGGGCACTCTAATACAGAAGGTGTGTTGCTGGCCAGATCACCAGGTGAAAACAGATGGGAAAAGCCTAAGAAAATAAAACAGATGCAACCACCATATCTAGTGATTAATAGGCTGCAATATATTACATTTTTGTTTTTGGGTTTAACCACTTGCCCTCCTGAGGATTTACCCCCCTTCCTGACCAGGCCATTTTTTGCGTTACAATTGCGCGGTCATGCAACGCTGCACCCAGATGAAATTTACTTCCTTTTTTTGCACAAATTGAGCTTTCTTTCAGTGGTATTTAATCGCCTGTGCGTTTTTAATTTTTTGCACTACAGAGAAAAAAAAAGGCTGACAATTTTCAGAAAAAAACAATATTTTTTACTTTTTGCTATTAAATATGTCCAGTAAAGAAATGTAAAAAATCAAATTTCGTCATAAATTTAGGCCAAAATGTATTCTGCTACGTCTTTGCAAAAAACAAAAATCCCAATACATGTAAATTAATTAGTTTACATGAAAGTTATAGTGTTTACAAATGGCGGTATAGGTACTGCAATTGTTAACTTTTTTTTTTTAACTAGTAATGGTGTCGATCAGCGACTTATAGTGGTACTGCGGAAATCTGACACTGGAGGGAACTGACTTGATGTCACCGACATCCCCAGTGACACCAATACAGTGATCAGTGCTAAAAAAAAAGCACTGACACTGTACTAATGGCACTGGGCAAAGGGGTTAACATGAGGGGCGATCAAAGGGTTAACTGTGTGCTGGGTGTATTTTACTATGGGGACCTGTGTTTGTGCTTCACTGTGATCACACTGCTTTGCATGGCTGTGCTATGCAAGGAGGAGAACTGTTTTGTTTACAAACAGTTCTCTTCCCCGTGGGAGATGCTTGGCTATCCCTGGGCGCCGGCGAGTAATCACCAGCACGGACCCGGTGATTGACAGCTGCGCCCCCTACCCGGAAATGCAAAATCACGTATATATATATGTGATTTTGCACACCCGTGCCACCCTGTAGCAGTATATCTGCTATAGGGTGGTTGGGAAGCGGTTAATACTGCTTTAAGAATGGAAATAACAGACACAACACTTAGTAGCTGTAAAGGGTGATTTCAATGCTTGAACTGGTGCTGATAAAATTATTAGTATATGTGGGCTCAACAAAACGAACATGAATAGAATACTATCCATTTTTTTGCAAAGAAAAATAATTTGTTTTAGAAACTACATACAAAGGTTGCTAGACTACATTGCCATCAACAAAAAGCAACGCAGATAATCTCTAAATGCAATGTGATGCACAGTGACAAACTGTCAGATCACATGCCAGTAGTTACAAGACTAAAGGTAAGAAAGAACAGAACAAACAGAACTCTAAGGACTTGACGGGATAATCAGGAGTAGTTAAACAATTATGAGAACAGTAAAAATTTGAAGAAACCATCAATCAACAAGCTGAGTGCAAAACATGGCAAAACAAATTCTGGGAAAGTGATGTCATTAAAAAGTCAACCAAAAGAAAAGAGACAATAGGATCACCAAGGAAATTTTTACTTCAATGAGTGAAAAAGAGAAACCAAAGATTAGAGAATAATTACAAGAACACTCAGAATATGTTGACAAGTGGAACAGAAATAAATAAATAAATAAATACATAGGTGTGATTAAACACACATTAGAAAAGAGAAACAAACAAGGAAAATGAACATAGAAGACATTTAAAGTGTTACCAAACCCACAACAGTAAAATCAGTCTGTATATGCAGTAAAGCATGCTTGTTATACTCACCGTGGAACCTAAGGGGTTAATCCTCTGCATTAAGTAAAATTATTCTGTTTTCCCTGCTCCTGCTCCTTCTTCCACAGTCCCCAATCCATCTGCTGATAGTACAGAGCCCCAGGCAACACTCTGCACATGCTCAGTTTAGTGTGTATGACTAGAGCGTTTAACATTTAAGAAGCGGAATAGAAAATGATATACAGTAGGTATTAACCACAGAGATGAGATACTCAGCAGGTGGGAATACAGTACTGGAAGTGGCAGACCCAGGAAGGATGTCCCACAACCTTAGGCTGTAGAGATACTGAATTAAGAGAAAGCAATACGAAATTTGGGCAACAACAAGGCAACAGAAATGTATGAAATGTTAACTGAATATGGTAAGAGTATAAATTAAGGCTTCATGCACATAAGGCATTCGCCCATCTCTCTTAAACGCTCTTCCTGCTGGCAGCAGCATTTTGGTATAAAAATATGCTTGATGTGTGTAAATGTGTTTAGGTGCATCAAGTGTTTAGGCATTAATTAGTTTTGTTGTCCAG